TTACCACTTTATTGGTATTTGTACCACTGCACTGATACTCAGATATGACATTGCTACCAGTGCACTGATATCGCTACCAGTGCAGTGGTATATCTACCAGTACAGTGGTACAACGTATCAGTGCAGTGGTATATCTACCAGTACAGTGGTACAACGTATCAGTGCAGTGGTATATCTACCAGTACAGTGGTACACCGTATCAGTGCAGTGGTATATTTTTTGGAGGTGGTCGGAGGGAGTCTGCCGATGGGATTTTCACCGGAGAAGTGTGGCGGTCGGAGGAAGTCTGGTGGTCGGAGACTGCTGAAAAAGGAAAAATAAAATATAGTAAGAGAATTCCTAATGTGTATTTAATGTGTGTATTTAATTCCTAATGTGTATTTAATAGTGAGAGAATTCCTAATTAATATGGTACATTTAATTCCTAATGTGTATTTAATGTGTGTATTAAATTCTATAGTTGTATTTAATATACTAGGGGTGTCATTTTTCCAACCCCTAAGGGGGTTAGCATGCTAACCGACCCCCGGACAAACAGATGAAGTTTTGATAGATTGAGAGAGTTTTAAAAAAAAAACAAAAAATGCAAGTGATGGCGAGCGACTTTTCACTTTGCTATATTAAGGCCTTAATATTATTCGCATGGAGGAGGCTACAAATCACGACTGTCATGTCATACACATATACATGCCAATCCAAATTATAACCCCCACGGTATACCGCATGCCAGATCTCTTCATCCCAACCACTGATTTATTTGGATCACATCCTGCTTATGATTTAGCTTGTGTTCTCATGATCGCATATCTAGAAATTTAGAGCAAGTTCCAGAGTTAGAAAAGCAAATTGATCATAAGAAATTAATACATTTGGGGAATGAAAATAATATATTAAGACAACAATACGATTGAGGTTAACAATAGGATGTGATAAGTAAATTTTAACGGTAAACTCGAACTGGAGTAGAGACTGTTGACTGTTTGGACATAGAACTAAATGAAACCAAAATCTCCATCGACTTAGATAATGATTGTTAACCTGACCCATCACTACATCTACTGCAAATCAATAAAAACCGTAGAAGAGGATTGCAACACAGTTTGTGTAATCAACATGAAGCAAGATATATCGAAAAAGACAGCAAATAGGGATTGCATGGCATTGGCCGATGTCACTTCAATCATAATTTTGATTTTGAGTCAATTGCATGCCTTTCTATTACCCGAGAACTGTATCAGAATTGAAGGAGGAATGCTAAAATGAACAGAATTTTCAGCATCGGCTACTTTGGTGAAGAGTAGAAACCATAAATTTGAGAAGAAAATTTTATGAGACAAACCGATTGAAGATGGAAGATATGGCTTTGTTGGAGTAGATAATGTCTTTTGCTTTGCATGCTACTTTCTATCTCCCTGAGATCTGCCGACTCCCTGAGTCACATTTTGTCGCTGCGGGTACCGACGGGGATGAATTCTTTGAAGATTTGGGAAGAAGGAACCGTGGCCAACGATGAGAGAAGTACGTGGAAGCGGAGGGTGGAAAATAAGGGGTTTTAAACGGACAGAACAGATGATGGACAGAGAGTAGGAAACGATTGTGGGCGAAAACCGTTATGGGTTGCGTGGATAGGCTGGATTTTGAGGAAGGGTTACGCGGAGGGGGCCGAAACCTCAAAGCCTTTTCAATATTTTTAAATTAAATTTAATAGAAAAAAAGGAAAGAAACTGCCGCAGTTAATATGAAAGGAAAAAAAAAAAATTTGGAAAAAAGGATCCGAAAGTTGCGGGGAAGAGTTCCCAGAGAAACCTCTTTATATTATTTAGAGATAGACTTTTGAAAATTCAATAAACACAAAATACATAGCATACACCAAAGAGAAATAAAAAAAAATTACATGATGAAATACAAAAAATGCAAAACAAAATGAAATTAAATTAAAAAAAAACTAGACACTCGTCATCTTCCTGTCCTCCAAATCGATTCCAAATCTCTTCAAATATACATCTTTGTATTAAGTTTTCAATATAATTCATAATTTTAATTTATTAACAACTTAAACAAATCATAAGCACAAGAATTATTAAGTTTAACATTTTATGTGTACAAAGTGGATAGAAAAGAAAGAAAGAATTTGAGTGTATGAATGTGTGGGTCCCAATTGTTTATGTGGCATTGCAAAGAGGATTGTTTATTTAGCAATCTTGCTAAATAAGAAAGAAGTGCTACATCCTTGAAAATGCTTAAAGCTATTGCCACATAAGATTCCACCCAATAAGCAATAGTAATAAGCAATGGGATGGAGATGTTCTTATACATATAGATGGAAGATAGTGTTGGTGGGAGTTCTTGGTCTAGCTTAGTGGAAACCCTCATAAATTGTTACTTTACTCACAATTAGCAAGAACTCTATTGAAACCCAACATTCTGCTTCATTTTATATGCCTAAAAGAAAACTATAATAATTTTAATTGAATCATTTTGCTACTCTAGTCCACTATAGTTAATATTTTTTACATGCTATTAATTAAAGATGTGTGGTGGGGGAAGTCTATACACGTATTATTAATTATGGTGCATCTTGTACCTATGAATTCAGTGAACAATAGAGTACGTAATCATGAGTTTCATTTTCTTGTTTTATAAATGTTAGTTAAATTATTGCCACACATCATCAATATGCCAACCATAATTTGATCGATATTGTAAGAACCAGCTGATTCTAGAAATATAAGTTGTCGCGAGAGATTCAATAATGGATATGATGCCACATATTAGCACGCCTTTTCAAACGAAAGTCACTAACATGTGCTTCAAGTTTCACACATCTGAAATACTATGTGCTTAACAATTGAGGTTGTCGGGATTGGAATAGTAGACCTTTCGGTTACAGAAGAATATGATATTATGCCAAGTACCAATTCAGGATGCCAATAACTCAAATTATTGTGATTTGTGAGAGATTTAATAGTGAATTTTATATCATATACTAACAGAAGTTATATATTAAATCTTCTATTTTGTATATTTAGATTATACAGTTTATTATAAATTAGTATATATTATTTTAACTATGTTTATATATGTTATGCATGTAATATATGAGTATTTTTGTGAAATATTTTTATTTCTACGAAGAAATTTTAGGTTTATTATAAATTTGAATGAATTCTATTAATTTTTTCCTTTTTATACAAAGGTTATATTTTGGCCCCTCCTAAATCAAAATCCTGGCTCCGTCCCTATTACGATTAGACATTAGATTAGTAAGTACCAACTATACAGTCATTAGATTAGTGAGAAGTTTATCTAAATGGCTAAGCCAGAATATTTGGATCACATTGATAAGGTGCAGTGGTGCACTGCTCTCGAATTAATGTGATGGACCTGTATATTTATTGACCCAACTCGAACTCTTCATATCTCTATCAGAATTGTCATTTCTTTATATATTTCTTCATAATTCATTTCTCTTACATTTATTAATTCCGTCCTATCCACCTTGATGAAGACCCATGTTGCAACTTTCAACTTTGTTCGCAATTCACAACTCACAATATTTCACATGAGATCCAATTCATATCATGATGTAGTGAAGAAGGACAACGCCTCGCCTTGGCAAAAAACAATGAAGAAGGCATCACAATCACGTTGTGGTCTCGGTGGCGCCCAGTGAGCATTAAGTTGCGCCTCAAAATGATATCATGATGTATTTTTTTTCTACCTTTTGATATACTAGAATGGAGTATTGTATTGATTTCTCTATAATTAGGCTATGATATAGTTAGAGACTACCATCTTTAGAGTAGTTTCTTCTTTCATTTTTGTGCTTCTTCGCTCTCAATCTGCTTCACTATTTTCCAGTTTCTTCTTCCTTGCTCATTTCTCCAACTATGTTTTATTTGTTTTACCATGTGTTGTTAGTGAAAGTTTAGAAATGAGAGGTGGATGCGATGATATTGGTTCATAAACTTGTGATCATAGACAAATGTGAGATACTTTGATACGTTTGCATCTAACGCGTAAACACGCCTAGGCAATGCCTAAGCATGCTAGGTGCAAGGCAGAGCCTCAACGCTCGCTTTACGCCCAACAATTTCTTAAACCTTGATATAAACATTTGGAACTAAAAACTTAGACTAACTCCAACCCTTGCTTGCAAATTTGGAGAAAGGCAACAATTTGCCTTTTTTCATCTCCAACCCATCAAAAATTTTGCTTCCAAATTTGGAGAATGGAGTGTTGGGGTGGATAGGTAGAAGCCTCCATGGAGAAAGTGGGCAAAAATACAAGCTGGAAGGGGGACCCCGCGTGCAGGCAGGACCACCCGCGGGGGGCGCGCCTGGGCCGCACGCGCGCGCGGTTGGGTCCCCCTGCTGCTGCATTTTTTTTTTCAATTTTTGTTTGTGTGGTTATTTGTGTGTGGTGTGTTTGCGTTTTAGTTTGTGTGGTGTGTTTGCGTTTTAGTTTGTGTGGCTGTGTTTGCATTTTAGTTTGAAAGAAGTAGTGACAATAAAACGGTCACATTGCAACGGACACATTTTAACGGCCATAAAACGGTCATATTTTTTTTCTCTATATAATGAGTAACTTCTCATGGTTTTCCTGCACTCATCCTCAAATCAATCTCTCTCATTCTCATCTATTTATCACAAAAAAATGACTAATTTTGCACAAAAAAAATTATCTCGGAATTAAAAAAAATTACATCGAAAATTTTGTTTTCACAAGTAATAACAAACTATAAAAAAATTAAAGTGAATTACAAGAATGATATTGTAAATAAGTATGGATTATGGAAATTAAATCAAAAAAAAGATGTGGGATGCTAAATTTGGAAGCCTATAGGGTTGGAGCAAAAAAGTGTTTTGGGGAGGCAAATATGCACATTTGAGAGCTTGGGAGGCTAAATATAGCTTTTGGGGTTGGAGTTAGTCTTAAAAGATGTTGTACCAATTTATTAAAGTGTATAAAAATTTGGTGCCATATAGGAATTTAACCCTTTTCCTTTTCCGAAAGTTCAAGTAGGAAGTTGGGGGCTTGGGGCGTATGAATGCCAATTTCGTATATTTATGCTCTTTGCGTTCTTCGTCATCATCTTCTTCTCTAGTTCCGGTGCGTGGCTCCTTCAAATATCAGAATCTATCGAAGGAAAGAAAAAGGGGGGAATCTTAATTCAAAACCCTAGAATTTGAAAACCCTCGATTAGGATTAGCTTGGTGAAAGGAACGGAAGATTACACAGAGGGGCAAGATGGAGGGTGAGAGCGAAGAACTCAGCATGGAGGAGCTCGCTTCCAATCTCTCTACATACAGAGAACAGCTTGATAGCGTAAACCCACTCCCTTTCTGTTTCTCTTTAAGTTTGCCTTCAAATTAGCGTCTTTGAATTGCCTATTCGAATTTGGGGTATTGGGTTCGCCGAATTAGGGTTTCTAGTCGGGTTTGTTTGTGATTTTCGAGAGTTAATAGGCAATAGGGTAACGCTGAATTTCGGGATATTTGTATTGGGTCATCTGGTTTTGTCTTTTCCCTAAATTTTTGTGGGGGCTGTAGTTAACAGTCTTTCATCGTTTCAGAATGCTAGCTCTATTGCATCCTGGGTATGCTTAACGCCTCTTGCAGCTGCATAGCTGCGTCGACTTAACTAACTTCACTGTCAACATTATAACCTCATCTAAGTGTGTTTGCTGTATTGATTAATTATGCTGTTGGTATGTATAAAGATCACTCTTTTCAGCGGATAGCTAGTGATCATTCTAGATAGTGGGGCATTCTATGATAAGATGCTACTAGGAAGTGCAAGTAATGTGTATTCAAGTATAAAAGCCGTCACTTTGCTTCTGGAGTAAGATCTTTCATTGTTGTGTATATGTAGATTGAGTGATTGACTCTTGTATTGTTTTTGTGCTTGTGTGTTAGGTTCGGCAACTTTTGGCTGATGATCCTGACAATGCTGAATATGCAGACATGGAGAAGGAACTTGGCGAGGTGATCTGCTGACATAAATGTGATTCAATTGGTTTTTTCTTCTTCGTAGTGTTGGTTAAGTTCAAGGGACTAAGATGGTGGTGTTTGACTATGGCTTCTATTCAGTGTTTGATAAGTTTTCCTGACCGCATACTGGTTACTTTCATGGTGTGAAGATCCCCTGTATGATTAGTATTAGGAATTATAACTGTACTTGGCTAGTTGGTGCAACTTTTTAGTCGATAAGTTCTTTCATGAAATTTATTTTCCTTTTTATCTCTTCCATGTCTCTCTTGAAGGAATGAAAATGTTGTTCATCAAGCAACATTAATTAGCTGCTAATATCTCAATGGAGTTCTGATATCGTATCGTATTTGAGTAAAGGTGAGGGTGGTTTCTTATGTAGAAAGAGATTTTTAAAACATGAACCTATATTAGAGACCGAGAACTTCAACAAAATGCCCATCACTCCTATCTTGATCCAATTTGCAGGTTTGCTAGATGTCTTGTGAAGGGCAGGCCTGCTTCTCTACGCCACGTGTTAAAGATCTTGGGATTCTGTTTCTGTTAACAGAAACTACAAATAATGATTAACAGTGGTGGTGTTCCTGTTTTGTATCTCAGGGGATTAGCTAACATTCTGGGCGTTGCAGGTCATTGCTTTAACCGAAGAACTCCTTGAAACTGCAAAGCAGAGTGAGGTCGTTGGATCAGACATTGGTGCTGGAAGTAGTGTGTCTCCGACATTTGGTCAATCTAAGGTTGGTAGCGATTATGTAGCACTCCTATTCTCTCTTTTTGTTAACTGTTTAAAACGTTTGTGTTCTTAGTTCCCGGTAGATGTTGTTTTCCTAAGCCAGGAATCTTAGAATGATTACATCGAGGACCTCAAATAAGCTGCTGTAAGCATTGTTCTTCGAAATGTACATACATCATTTGCTTCTTTCCTCTATCAGGAATTAGCAGACAGCTCTGATCAAATCGGGAAATTTCCTGTGGGCTCTAGAGTTCAGGCTGTGTGGAGTGAGGATGGAGAATGGTATGTATAAGGCCATGAGCAGATTATATTTGACCATTCAAGCGTCTTGTTTTGTTGCATTTGCTTTACCTTCTTTTTCTTTGTGTTTGATTAGTTAATTGTTCAGGTATGATGCGACAGTTGAGGCAATCACCCCGAACGGCTACTATGTCGCCTATGATGAATGGGGAAATAAGGAAGAGGTGTGTTTTTGCTGTTTCTCTGTGCATCTGAATTTACAGTTAAGCTGTCATTGGGAACTAACCGAGTGAGATCATTATTTTTTGTTGGGGTGATTGCCAGGTGGATCCTGACAATGTTAGACCAGTTGAAACCAATGCTCTGGTTGAGGCTGAAAGACTAGCGGAAGCTACTAAACAGGCCATCAAAAGGAAGATTGCACAGGCTGCTTCATCTGATTATCAGTCACGCACTTTACCAGCAAAGCTTCGAATACAACCTGAGGATCCAGAGGATGTGAAAGTGACAAAGCGGAAGAAGATACATGCATTCAAGTCCAAGGTGAGGGTCGAGCAACTTGAAGTTGCACAGAATAAACGCCAAAATGCATGGCAGCAGTTCCAGACTACTAAAGGGAAGACTAAGAAGGTAATTTATTCACATGCATTGTTTTTCTTTTGATAAATGATGAAAATTTTTATTAGAAAAAAGAAACAAGCTACAGATTAAAAAAAAAATGAAATAGATCCGCTAGGAGTGGACCGGCCAGCCTAACAACTATGCATGGACATCCCAAATGATCAAGAGAAAAACCAGGCACAACCTGTAGAATAGAGTCCATACTACCATCCCAACAGGGATCCAATGTGCTGAAAATCAAATTAGCAACCAACAATCAATGACAGCACATCAGCAAACAGATTCCAAAACCAGCTAACTAAAGAGACTATTAGGGACATGGTCTTTGTTGCACTGACATCCCCACATACCACGAGCTTGTCTCCTCCTTCCTAACTCTTCCATGTGCTAGCAACCATTCTCCTTTGTTATCATAGCAAACCTTGTTGAATGTCCTGCTACTTTGAAGTTGATAGTCCTTGAGATAAGATTGTTCGGAGCCAACCAAATCTCTCACATGCATTGTTCAACAACCAAATTTGGAGTAATTTTACTGTTCACTGTTTGCTAAAACGTGGAGGCCTTTCGGATTAACGAAATGTGGCTGGCTGAGAATGAAGGTCTTCTGAGTTATTCAACTCTTTGTTATTTTCCAGATCGGTTTCTTCTCGGGCAGGAAACGAGAAAGCATATTCAAGTCTCCAGATGATCCACAGGGTAAGGTTGGTGTGACCGGGAGTGGGAAAGGTTTGACAGATTTCCAGAGGAGGGAGAAGCATTTACATCTCAAGGGTGGATCTGCAGAAACCGACGAATAGAGAGTGGTTGCTGTCTTCAGCTGTTCTGCTTACATGTTGTCTATTACTCTGAGTCAAATACTCCTTAATATTCTCTGCGTATGAGTAAACTGGTGGTGGGAGGCTTTGTACTTAACTGAGATTCTTGTCTGATGTGAATTTGGATGGCCATATGCGTGCTTCCCCACTGAACTTTAGAAAGCCATGCTGTTTTTTTGTTTTTTCAGCAAGATTGGCCGTTGTCCTTGTTGCCGACATTTTCAATGTTGGGGTTTTTCTCGTGCTTCAAAATCTGTGATCTTATTGCTGTGTGGTTGTTAAAGGGTCCATATGAGTCCCTCGTTGTGACGGTAACTGTTTAAAAGCAAAGAAAAGACCTCTCATCATGGTCACGGGTGCTCGGGTAGCCATTGAAAGTGGCAAAACATTGAGGTAGTTGAGCGCATTATTACAGTGCCCTCTGGTTCTCGAGTTTGTGACAGTTCTCTCTCCCAATTTATCTAATGCTCACAAGTGTTGTAACCGGTGTCCGGGTTTAGCTAGATGATCGACAACTGAATTAGTTTCTCTAGATGATCGACAACTGAATTAGTTTCTCTTAGCGCGTAAGAAATTGAAGCCTACAAGTTTCATACGAGAAGATGATAACAATAGGGTTATTACTTATTACACTATCAATACCTAGTTCGTGTGGGATGAAAGGGTAGTTACTGTAACGTCATGGAAGAGAGGCTATTACGTTAAAAAAAAAAAAAACACACACACACACAAGGACTTGAGTCATGGAAGTGACATGAGGTAAAAGGGAGAAGGCTGCGTACTATTGGACCAGGATTCAGGAGTCCATGTTGTTCTTTGACTTTTGATATTGACAAGTTTGGGCCTTGTAGATTGTAGACCATTGGGTCGAGTTTGGATACTGCCATACTGGGGAAAGGCTTTGATTGTAATTTGTAACTAGGGTAGGGCCCGGCCTGTTGCCCGGTAAAGTTCGATAGTTATGTAATTTGTATGTGTCATTTATACTAATGATGTGTGTTTTGTTTGACATTTGGTTATGAACTTTCTAGTCAAACAGTTGTCTCCCTCTATATAAACAGTCCCTACTTGTTGGGATTGCTCCGGATTTTTCGGGAAAAGCTTACGAGTTGCGAACTAGGGTTTTCGCCTCTATGGCGGCCTGCTCGCCGTCGACAATGCTGAAGCCGACGGGGAAGCCCCCTGATCAGACTACTGGGGCTCGCCGTGCGGCAATGGGATCCTCTTCGCCGGATGGAAAAAGCGAAAAGGAGACTGTTCAAGCAAAGAAAAAGGTGAAGTCCCTAAATCTGGAACCGGGAAAGACGAATAATACCGCAATGGGAGATGAGGAGATGGATACAACCGAGACGGAATCTCCGCAGAGAGAAACGGGGGAGGAGAATCCAAGACCAAACGTTTGGCAGCATGGGTCGCGTTCTTTTAGTGAGGTAGTCCAGGATGAGGGTTGGTATGTGGCCGAGTCAGACTCGGAGGATGTGGCGGCTCAGGAAAGGGAAGAGGACGACGTCTTTGAGGAAGAGAACTACAATCCGAGATGCCCGCCGGTAATTTTCACGGCAGCTCAAAAGAACAAGTGGAGAAGAGAGTGGAGGTCTGCCCTGGTGGTACAAGGGTTGGGAAGAAGGGTACCTTACATACCATTGGCAAGACACTTGAATTATCTATGGGCCCATCATGGGGATTTGCATATCTCAGATATGGACAACGACTGCTTTCTGGTTCGGTTCCGAAGTAAGAAGGACTATGATTATGCCACAATGAGAGGACCCTGGACCTTGGGGGACACGTATTTAGCGGTTCACAGGTGGTACAAGGGCTTTGATCCCTGGAAAGCATCGGTATCATCAACGCTAGTATGGGTCCAGCTCCCAAAGCTACCAATTGAATTCTATAACGCGGAAGCAGTGATGCATATCGCGAAACTGATTGGAAAACCTGTTCGCGTATATCGGGCTACTGAGCTAGGGGCAAGGGCAAAATTTTCTAGAGCATGTGTCCAAGTTGATCTAACTAAACCCCTGTTGGGACAATATACTGTGGAAGGGAAAAAATATCTCATTGGTTACGAGGGATTACAAAATATCTGCGGACAGTGTGGAAAATATGGCAAACCAACAAATCTTTGTGACTGTTCGGTGACCGTCCCAATGGGAGAGGAAGAGGAAATAGTGGAAGTACCAGAGACACAGGAGGAGGACCCGGGCAACGGCAACGATTATGGTGACTGGATGATGGTAGAGAAGAAGAATCGACGTTCGCTGAAGAAGGGGAATACAATGGGACAGGAGAGAGGTCGGGGGAAGAACGTGGATGAAGTTAGGAGAACTACTAATCGTTACCAATCGTTGAACGATGAAGAGGTGGTTGTTGAGAAAAGTGGGGACGGGTCGAAGGAAGCCAAATGGAGGCAAGATGGAGGAAATGTGGAGGGACGAGGGAGGAGTACGCAAGAAGGACCAGGGAAAACAACCTCGAAGGGCGCTGAGCAGGGGGGAGGAAATCAGAACAAAAAGGATACAAAAACGATAGGAAAAGGGCAGCTAAGGGACGTCGGCATGGATGTGCATGGGGAGAGAGGGCACGTGAACATGAGGTTAGAGAAGGAGAATGCATTAAAAGATGTTGGGAAGCAAACCGTGACAAAAAATCCAGTGTCGAGATTAGAGAGAGAAGTAGGGGGGGGGGGAACCTAAGAATAACCTACCCGATCCAACAGGATCAAAGCTGTATGGAAAAAACTCTGAACATGGTGCGGGGAACCTATCCCCTTCGAAGAATAAATGAGAATATTGAGTTATAACTGCCGCGGATTGGGGAGCAAGCGGGCAGTTAGAAGTCTAAGGTCGCTATTGCGACAATCATCCCCACACTTAGTTTTCTTAATGGAAACTAAACAAACTAAGGAAGAAAATGATGTGTTGTGGAAAGAGCTTGGTTTTGTTGGAGGTGTGAGCTGGTCGTGTGTCATGTCGGGTAAAGGAAGAGCAGGTGGAGTTAGTATTTGGTGGACGGAGGAAGCAAAGGTGACTCTCATGGGGTCGGATCTGCACTACTTGGATGTGAAGGTGGAGGATGGATTACACGGGGATTGGCGTTTTACCGGGATATACTGATGGCCAGAGGGAAAGGAAAAACATATGACGTGGGACCTGATAAGAAGACTGAGAACTCATTGGGATGGCCCTTGGCTATGTGCTGGGGACTTTAACCAAGTCCTATTGGCGGCTGAGAAAGAGGGTGGTAGGCCGGTTAATGAAGGAGATATGGCTGCTTTCGGGGATTGTTTAGTAGATGTGGGTCTACACGATCTTGGTTTCCAGGGGTATGCTTTCACTTGGGAGAATAATAGACTGGGAGACGGCTATATAGAGGAGCGCTTAGATCGCTTCCTGGCATCACAAGGGTGGCTGGATCGGTGCAGTAATGCTAGAGTCCGACACCTCGAAAAATTTAAATCGGACCACCGACCGATCATTTGTGAAACCAATGGAGAAGATGATGAGGAACCTGTTTGGGGTTGGACATTTCGGTTCGACCCTTACTGGACTAACCATGCTGATTGTGCAGGTGTAATTGACGAGGCGTGGAAGGGGACTGGGAGTGCGGATATATTGACCAAGATAGCCAACTGTTGCTCGAAGCTGGAAGAATGGAGCCGGAGAACATTCCCAAGATTCACAAAACAGAAGAAGCGCATCAAACGAGCTTTGCAAGCTCTAGAACGGGCGCCGAAGACGGAAGTAAATATGCAGCAACGAAAAGCTTTGGAGGCGGAGTTGGAAGAACTGGAGGAAGACGAGGAACAATACTGGAAGCAGAGATCAAGAGCGGACTGGCTAAGGGAGGGCGATAAGAATACAAATTGTTTCCACAGAAAGGCGATCGCTCGACGTAAAAGAAACACGATAAAGAGGCTGAGAGACCAGATGGGACGGTGGCACCTTGGTACAGAGCAAGTTTCTAACTGCCTACTGGATTATTTTGGCTCTTTATTTTGTGCAGGACAGGCGCCGGAAGTGACTCCCGTGCTTGATTCAATTCCCCAATCTATAGGAGAAGATGCTAATGCAGAACTTATTAAACCGGTCACAAGTGAAGAAGTTTGGCAGGCATTGAAACAGATGGGAGCAAGAAAGGCTCCTGGTGACGATGGTCTCTCGGTTCTTTTCTTCCGAAAATACTGGGGGACGGTGGGGGAGGACGTTGTAAGCACAGTACGGGGGATTATTGAAGAAGGGGTAATGCCGCAGGGGCTCAATCATACAGTTATAGTTCTAATTCCGAAGGTAAAGAGTCCTACCTCTCCGACGGAATTCCGACCGATAAGTTTATGTAACGTCCTGTATAAGATGGCATCTAAAGTGCTGGCGAATAGGCTGAAGGGCCTGTTGGATAAAGTGATATCGCCAGCACAAAGTGCGTTTGTGCCTGGAAGATATATTACGGACAATGTGATGGCAGCATTTGAATGTTTTCATACGATGAAGAAGAGAAAGAAAGCGAAAGTGGGATATTTCGCGGCAAAAATAGATATGGCAAAAGCCTATGACAGGGTCGAGTGGTACTTCTTGGAAGGCGTGATGCGCAAGATGGGATTCGCAGAACAATGGATTCGACGGGTGATGCTGTGCGTGGAAACGGTGTCTTACTCCATTTTAGTGAATGGTCACAAGTCGCAGAGTTTTAAACCGGGTCGCGGACTCAGGCAAGGGGATCCGTTGTCGCCATATTTGTTCCTTCTGTGTGCAGAAGGTCTCTCGGCGTATACCGAAAAGGCGATTCAGGATAAGAAGTTGCATGGATTATCACCGGCACCGGGGGCGCCAGTTATCTCCCATCTATTTTTTGCCGATGACAGCATCTTTTTTGCCCGGGCGACGCAGCAGGAAAGTGAGACTCTGAAGAGAATTTTGTCAGATTACGAAAGGGAATCGGGACAGTTGGTAAGCTTGCCAAAGTCAGGGGTCTCGTTCAGTGACAATGTTTCGGCTCATCATAGGCTCCTGGGCAGCGGTACTCTGGGTATGCCAATTGTTGCTAAGCATGAAAAATATTTGGGGCTCGCGACGGTAGCCGGATGATCGAAGAAGGAATTGTTCACAGGAATTGTTGACCGCATAAGAAAGAAACTGAAGGGATGGAAGGAGAGGGTGATGTCGGTTGC